ACGAAGTGATTAAATTGTATAGGCTATTAGGTTCGGGGTCTTTTCATCTTCCGGGCTGCCTGTGCGCAGTTTTGGGGGTGGAAGATGCCTGGACGTGTGATGTTAATGTGATCCTTGAATAAAGCAGCACGGTTATATTTTTTTTATATACTCAAGTGGTCCGCTTCGTCTCACTGAGTTCCTGGTTTGAAAGAACCGGACGTGGCTTTATAATAGAATAAAGCCTTTAATCATCAGACCCCACCTCACCATCTGAGCTGTGACATCACCCAGGTATGTGTTTACCTGTGGAGTTGTCTGGACAGATGCAGTGCTGGAAATCAATGCAGGTTCCTCCATTCTGGCAGTTCAAATGTTCTTGGTCACAAACGTTCACTGAGGGAAGAGTGATTGATCATTGATTATTAATGACATCAGTAACAAACACCTGTGTCCAGGTTGTCTGTGACAGTTTTAGGTAAACACAATGTATCAGGATGTCACAGTTTGGAAGTAAACATTATTATCCGAAAAACAAATTAATGCCTAAACAATAGATACATTTTCCCTAAATCAAATTTGATATAATCAGATTTTATAGATGTATTTATTTCACCCATGACTGTGTTGCCTCCCACACAGACAACATCATTCTAAAGTTCGCGGATGACACTACAGTGATAGGTCGCATCACTGGCGGGGACGAAGCAGCCTACAGGTGGCCAGTCTGGTGTCACGGTGCAAGGACAATAATCTCAGCCTCAACACGGACAAGATGAAGGAGATGATAGTTGACATGAGGAAGGAGAGACGATCACATCGGCCGCTGTTCATCCGGGGGCTCGAAGTGAAGAGGGTGAGCAGCTTCAAATACCTGGGCGTCCACATCAGTGAGGACCTCACTTGGACACTTAACACCACACAGCTGGTCAAGAAGGCCCAACGGCGGCTGTACTTCCTGAGAAGGATGAGGAGGTTTGGCATGTCGCCTAGGATCCTTTGCAACTTCTACAGCTGCATCATTGAGAGCATCTTGACCAGCTGCATCACTGTCTGGTATGGCACCACTACAGCTGTGGACCGCAAGCTGCCTCCATCCTCAAAGACCCCACCCACCCCCAGCATGGACTGTTCATACCCCTTCCCTCTGGCTGGAGGTTCAGAAGTGTGAAATGCAGGACTTCTAGATTGAAAAACTCTTTCTTTCCAAACTGAAAAAACTTAGAAAAAATCAACTGGACTAGATTTCTAGATCGAAGACATTTCACCTCTCATCCAAGAGGCTTCATCAGTTCTGACTGCCTGGTGTTGATTCGGAGATATTTATCCCCCTCAGTGGTGTTTCAGTCCTTTGAAGGCCAGCAATGTCCCTTAATGACTGAGTCGTTATAGCCCAGTATCGGTGAGAGTCGTTACCTGTCTTTGAATCCTCCCCTGTCGATCGCCGCCCATTT